ATTGCCCTTGATTAAGTCCTACCAGGCCTCTTACACCCTCCTTACCACTGATTTGGGATCATTTGTCATTCCCTTGTCCCTGGGTTTGTTAACACCACTTCCTTTCCCCCACCTCCCCTCTCCCAGGACCTTCAATTCTTTAGGGATGCTTTGATGACTGGTATCATCACTTATAAAGCTGCCTTTACCTTGATGGAGCTGATGTTGAGAAATTGGTTTATATTTTTAATTTTTCTATTTTTTAATTCTACTTTTCCACAATTTTTTTTAAGTTACCTCATAGGTATAGTACAATTTATTTAAATTTCCAAAGTTTTTTTTTCTGTCATCCTATTTTATTATATTAGTGACATTATCCTTATGGCTATTTAGTCCATATTTCAAACCATAAAAGGAAAGAAAATGAGAGAGATGTGGAAGGAAACTGTGAGTTTACAATCAGATTTTGTTTGATTGAAATACTGACTCACCATGAAAGGACAAACATACTTTCTTAAGCAGCAATTGCAAAATATTAAGTTGGTTCTGCTGGTCAGTCCTTTAAAATCTAAGTCAAATACCAGAATTACACCAGTGGGATTCTCTATTGAATAATAGCTTCTCCTCCTGCACCCCCTCCCCCTTCCTTTTACACTTTTTATAGGAGCATCATTGAAAAATGCATGTATACTAGCTGTTGTTTTGTAGCATTTCTCAGCACAATATTACGATTACCTACTTTTTGTTGAAGGCCCATGAGCTATAAACTACATGCTTTGTGAACCATTAGGTACTCAGAGTTTGCCTCCAATGTGAGGTAAGGAAAAATCCTGAAGCACAAAGACATCAACTACATCCCATGGGATTCATGATGTCTACCTCACAGCTGTCTATGGTTATAACCTAACTCAATGCTTCTTAAGCTGTGGGTCAAAAACCTGTGGGGGCTGCAGAACTGAATGGGTTTTGGAATATGCACAACCAAAATTAACTCAAAATCAAATGCATAATGAATCTGAGATGTTCTGGCAGCACTTTTGCATGTTGCAAATTTCTCAGGTGAAAGACGTGGTAGAGGAAAAAGTTGAAGAAGCCTTGACCTAACCCACTCTTTAAAAAACGAAAGGCAGTGGCATAGCCAGCTCTCTTTTTGTTAAACAAATGGATGTGTATTTTATGGCCACTTTGATACAGTACATATCAATATTGTATTGATATAAATTTCTCAATGGAATGTACTTCTTCAATTGACCCTTATTTCCAAAGGAATCAAAAACATTTTATGAGGTTTTTGTAAAACAGTTTTGTGGGAAGACTATTTACATATCCTTAAGTAAATGCATTGACAATTCTACAGCCTAGTTGTGATTTCAGTTTAAAATAAAAACAGAAATATCATCAACAAAGCACTAAACAAAAATATGTTTTGAATGAGTCGACAGAAGAGTGATGGCGTTCTTTCTCATGCTTTCCTGTTATTGATTATTTGGCATCTCTATTGGTTTGTCTATAGGGAAAGAATGACCTTATGATACTGATGTAGCTGCTCCAGCGTGTACGTACATTCCTCATAGGAATTAAGATGGGCATTGGGTTCTATTCCAAGATAGCTGAACACTATATATGCTTAAAGGTTACAGTCTAGCACCTGAAGTCTAGTAGGCGCCTAATGAGTATTGCCTGCATCCATTTTGTCTGTGCTCAAACCAAACAAACAAAATATACTTGTTGTTATTGTTGCTTTTACTGGATAAATAAATAATTCTAAAACCGAAGAGTAAAATGTCATTGAAAATGTAGTAGATGTCTTATCAAATAGATTCAAGTTAAGGCAAAAACAAAAAGTTACTAGGAGTCCGGTTCATACATGCACAGGTTTATTCCAAACAAAACATATTGAAGCATGTCTCTGTGATAATTGGACTTCTGTAGACAAGTTCCCTCAGTCATACATTTGTTTTAGTCTCCTTAGGATGTCTTCACATACACACACACACACACACACACACACACAAAGATGCTTTTTGTGCCATGGAGAAAAAAAAAACACATTTTGCCATCAGAGCCAAAATCAAAATTTTAAGCCAACTCAAGTTGACATCTTCCCAAATCATTGAAGCTTTACAAGTTTGTATGAATGGGGCCCCACATAAAACAAATGTTTTTACATGGGTCATGCATTTTAAGGAATCTCAGAAAGACTTCAAAAATGAGCCAAGTAAAAGAAGATTGTCAACCTCCACAAATGGAGAAACTGAGGCGGAAGTCCAGGAACTGGTGGATGAAGAGTACAGCGTTACCCCTGATTCATTAAGTACTGACGTTGGAACCTCCTGTGGCTCAGCTTTCGCCATTGTAAGGGACCATCTTGCCCTCAGACAGCAGTAGCTCAAAGAGATAATCTTTCCATCAGTCTTTTACAGAAGATCAAATCTAATGAAGATGATTTTATAGAACAAATCATCACTGGGGACGAGTCCTGGGTTTATCAGTATGATCTAGACAGCTAAATCCGATCAAAATAGTGGCTTCGAGAGGATCTGCGAGGTCGGTCAAATCCAAGGCAGAGAGGTCAGCTCAAAACGGCAACTGTTCTTGTTTGTTTTGTGTTAATAGGGATAGTTTTTGACAGATTTCCTCAAAGGACACAGGAAAAAAATCACTGTGATGTATTATAAAGATTTTATTTTAATTAAAAATTTTACTGGGAAGGGAAAAGTCCAAGAAAGTTTCACTAAGGAATTTTTTGTTTGTTTTTCTATCATAAGAGTGCCACTGCTTATTCTGCAAGGGTTGCAAGGGCTGTCCTGTGAAGTTCATTGGAAAACCTTACTCCATCTACGGCCCTAAACTTGCTTGTTTAGATTCCATTTTGTTCCCCAAATTCAAATAACATTTAAAAGGAACACATTTGAGTCCCTTGCAAATGTCAAAACTGCCCTTTTGACCTGGTGCACATCACAGAGCGCAGACCTCTTGGGGAGAAGGGTTCGAGCGAGGAAAATAGAGCCTTCGGAAGTGTATCGACCTAAATGGAAGATAGCTTCACATTTTGATAGTTTGACTTAATAAAGGTTTCTATGCTTTTGTAGCAAGATTTTTGGACTTAGCCTTTTAGAGAAGATGGGAATATGGCTGTGTCTCTTTCTTTTATTGAAATATATGTAATCCGGTGTATATTTTCAGTCAAGTCATTTCAAATGGGAATGTGAAGTATTGGATCAGAACGAATGACATGATGTAAGATTATCCCTCATTGTTTACAAAGGTGAAAAAGGACAGTAAAGAAAACCCGTACAGGAAGGAGGTTGAAAACGGAACGATGACAAGAAATGGCTTCAGGTAAAAGTGGTGGAAAGCAGGTAGGGAGAGATCGGGCTACTGTTGCCCGATCCACTGCCACGAGTTGCCACTGCGCTGAGTCTGATTCCCGGTGAGCCCATGCATTCCAGAGTTGAACTGTGCTCCACAGGGTTTCAGGACCTAATGGGGGAAGTAGATTACCAGGTCTTTCTACCAAGGCCACTCTAGATATACTCAACCCTCTCATTTCTAAAGCTCATTAACTTGTTGCACTCCTGTTGCGCTCTGTGTCACCTGGCTCAAGGGGCAAGGGTGATGGTGAGCTGCTCAGGTGAGCTGCTCTGGCCTTTTGTATTACAATTCATTTGTCTTTACTGCTTCCTGCCACCAACGGGAATTCCTTCCATTGATTCTGCACAGGACAGATGAGTCCATCCTATGTACTTGTCTTATGTAAAGGAGGCTTGGTGTTGGACAATTATCAAAATACAACAGAATGCTTGGCCCACAGCCATGGAAGGTCAGCTATGGCTGTGCCATTGACAACACTAATGATGTAGAGTACTGAGCCGCCACCTGTTTCAACAAGTGAGAACTAGAATTGCGTTTCCAACCTTTCCCCCTCCTGTCAAGTTCACATGACCGGAAAAGATGACTAGCAAAAACCTATAGGAGTAGCAGGAAGCAGCAAATGAAAGATAACGCTGTGTGTGTGAGAGAGACATGTATGACACAAAGTTTGCCAATTCCAGCCATTTTTAAAGTGCAATTCAGCAACATTAATTCACCATGCTGTGATACTATCAACACTATCAATTACTACATACAAATCCAGCACCTTTTGAGCAACAATGGTAATATTTCCTTCTCTACCCAGCCCTTGGTAGCCACTAGTAAACTTTGGTTTCTTTGCCTATTCTGCATATTTCATATAACTGGGCTCAGAGATATTTTATTTCTGACTTATTTCGCTCAGCATAATGTTTTTAGGGTTCATCCACATTTACTGTGTATCAGAACTTCATTTCCCTTTCTGGTTGAATAGTATTCCACTGTACGCACATCCTATACACTTGGTGTATAAGGATGGCTTTTTTAAGTGGCCGGGGACATTGAGAGGCAACGAATTGAGGAGAGCTGCTTCATGCCCTTGCTTTGATGTGTCTAGGGAACTAAATTGAAGCAAATAAAATGAAAACATGTGCAGTCAGCTACATGAAGTTAAATACTATATTTTCCAATATTTTTTATTCTGGTTGTGCCCACCCACTACATGGATCTGTTGCACAAGTCTCAGCTCACTGCCAAGGGGCCAAAGCCCTCTAGATCGAATGTAGATGAATAAAGATTGAATATAGATTGGCATTTTCCCTCACCAAAGTCTAGGCCAAGATAATGGGGTCACAAGAGAATCTGAGAGTCCCTTCTCCTGCCATTTAGATGGTGGTGTTTTTCTTTTTCTGTAAGAATCAATAGCTCTTTCAAAGAAGTGCATGCTACCGAAAAGTGTAGATTCATCCAATGGACAAGAGGGAAATCTTCTCTATCTAAACCAAATAAGCAAAATATTTAAACAACATATATGTTATTCCATAAAGAGCAGGGGTTAATTATATTATTGGGTAATCTTAATAGGAATAATGGCTTCATGGGAATTCGTTAATAGGAATTATGCTGTCCTTAAGAGATAAAATTTGGTTAAAATAATCTGACCAAATAGCTATAGGAATGCCCACAATATTTGTACATCCGCTTTATGCCACTTCACTTTTATGAACGACCTACTGTTTGCATTAACTGAGAGAAATCTGAAGATAATTGTCACTTTTTAAAAAGGGAGAGGGCTCGGCTAGTGTTCCATGTTTGCTTTGTAGTTCACCCACCCAAGCAGTGCAAACATGTGGCCGACCTCTGTCCCAGGAACTACACTCAGCATCTCAGCATCCAGCCACTTGCACCAGGGTCTGTGAATCCGACAAGAATGCGTTTGATGTGCTATTTGGTATGATTTGTTAAACTATTTTAGAAGTATAGAATCCTCAAAAAATGTTTCTTATAAATTAAGTGAATGTCTTCACCTAACTCCATTTTGATTCACAAAGTTTTCCTAAAAATGCCCTATTTTCAGGTTTTCAAGAAAAATTTACATATAGTTAGGCCATTTTCCAACAAGAAACCTAAAGGGATAGAGATTCTTTAAATGTTATGCTATCATTTATCTTCAATCTCCTTCGCAGTATTTTTCACAATGCACGGTAGCGTATCTGCTTACTTGTCTATAACTACCACTAAGCTGTAAGGTCCTTAAAAGAAGGAACAGAATCTCTCCCATCCTCTTCTGTATCTGACCCTAAAACATCGGTATCTGGTATCTGGTGGCCATCAAAACACTATAGCTGTGGTTGTCCACCTTCCTAATGCTGTGACCCTTTAATACAGTTCCTCCTGTTGTGGTGACTCCCCAACCATAAAATTATTTTTGTTGCTACATCATAACTGTAATTTCACTATGCTATGAATCGGGCGACTCCTGTGAAACGGTTGCTTGACCCCCAAAGGGGTCACAAACCACAAGCTGAGAACTGCTGCACTGTAGAATAAACTCTTCACAGAATAAAATCTCATGCCCAATCTCATATTCTGCATAAGAAGATTAGAGGAGAAACTGGAAAACCAATACTCAGGTAGCAAAATAAATGGAAAAGAGGGCCGCAGCATGATTCACTGCACACAGTTTGGTTCACTTTGCTAAGCAAAGAGGCAAAATGGAACAGAAATCCAGACAGTGGTCTGCTCAGCAGCCCATGATCCCCCCCGAACAGGTCTGTAACTGCCCACAGGAAACAATGCCTTATTTTGAATTTGTACAAAGGCTTGAATGAGTCGGCAACGGTTCTGCTTTAAACAATAATTTAGAGTAACCTCTGAAAGATTAGGTCCCCAGGTAGAGAGAAATTGTCCTCCCAACTAACTTCCACCACGGAGAGAGTGAGTGAAATGACAACGGTCTGACCTTGAATTGAGACCATTGGGGTTGGAGATTATTTTTCTCTGGATTCTCAACACAGGGCAATGATGACATAGAAACCCTTTTCCAACATAAGGGAACCTGAGCCTGAGCATTCCATTTGACTCCACAAAGTGAGTTACAGAGGCAAAGATGCGTAAATAACTGAGAGAAAACTTAAAGGTTTATAAGAACTATTTTGTTGATACAAGTGATGTAGAGATCATCCAGTCCAATAATCCATTTCAGAGACGAGGAAACCAAAAACATCAGGAAGGTGAAATGCCCTGCCTTTGATTAGTTAGCAATATTTGGTTTTGTGCCAGAGAGTATATTCCAACTCATAGCAACCTTATAGGACAGAGTAAATCTGCCTCATAAAATTTCCAAAATTATATTTTTAGGGAAGTAGAAGGCCCTATCTTTCGCCCCTTAAGCAATTGGTGAGTTTGCACCGCTAACTTTTGGGTTAGCAATCAAGTGCTTAATCCCTATGCCACCCACCAGAGCTTTTTAAAACTTGGGCTAGAACCCCATTTTCTCATGATCTTTCTACCACACCTACTCTATTTTCTATCATTATACCCACCAATAAGTACTCATGATGTGGGGAAAACAGACAGACTCAATCTCCATCAAGGGCTGAGAAAACAGCATGTATAGTAAGATATATAATAGTAAGGGGTGACAGTTAAGGGAAAGGTTAGACTCCAGTGTCGGTAGGAGTGGTGCAGCTGATGTGAGAAATTAATAGGCGTGGGGTGTAGTGCCCCATGTAGGCCAACAACTCTGGAAGGAACCAGAACTAGGTGACTGAGAAGGTACAGATGCGGCTGCAGGAGGGCCTAAGGCCACAAAAGCAGTGCTAGGACGTGTTGCTTAAGCATCGTGACCCAGATTAAAAACATGAGTGGGGTCACCCCTCTCTACAGCTGGGCGGGGGCAGAAGCAGCTGTATGGCACAACAAAACCAGACCCAATTTCGCTTTGCACAGGGTGATGCGGGGGCAGACAAGAGGTGGGGGCAACGGAAGGGAAGCCCAAGGGAGTTGGAGAAGCTGAGAACCGGCCTGGTGACCCGAGCCCGACCCAGCACC